CTTTGTGCAATAATAATACATTTATTTTAATTGAAAAATGTATTTGTTTATTTGTCATTACAGACCTAATATTCGACCGCGAAAACTGATGAACCTTCTTTTCATACCCTCTTTAAAGAAGTTGAACTTCATCCACTATTTCTATTGTAACTCGCAAGATTTTTGTTTTACTCTGATTAACCCCTTCATTAAATTCCTGACTACAGCACTGAATTGAATTGTTGCTGAGGAAGCTTATCAAAGGGTCATTTGACTACCACGAGTAGTGGCGTATCTGGGGGTTATGTCATTGAGTAAATAATATATAGGGTTGTAACCATGGATGTAGTTATACCCACTGGTTACACAGCTCCTATATAAAATATTGCGTATAAGACATGGACCATTCAATATGTCATATGATTAGACACATAACAATATAATAAGGCTCCCTGTAGAACTAAATTGTAGTAAACCCAAGCGGAAAACTGTTGTAGACACTATAGTTGCTTAGTTAATTTACAGATATTGAGATATCTATATTATACCTACTTATATTATGTATAGACGTATAGTATAGATATCTGTGAGTTAATTTCAAAAATACCACACAATGAGCCCTCGGTATTTCTTCATGTTTATGATAATGTAATTATGTGAGAGGGACGATTTATTTCATAGAATAGTGCAACCAGTATTGTAACAACCATGGTTGAAACATAGGAGTGACTAGACTCCTTCGCAACGGCAGCCGAGCTATAACCTCTCCTTGTAAGAGTACTGTAGTACCACTTGAGTAGGGCTACCCTAATGAACCAAAAAAACCTATGAACCAAAAGCCGTATTTATTTAAAACCTACCCCCCCCCCCCATACCAATAAAATATTTATACATAAAAAAGACTGAATTATCTTTTTAGAATTATTATTCTACGGTACTTGTAGTACCTACCTTTTAGAGATTAAATTAAACTCCAAAAATATTATTCATCTACAGAAATGCAGGATTACACGACGGAGCTTCAAATCAAAAAAAAAATAAATAACACCACAATAATATATAACATCCAATAATAGATTATGCGGATCAGACCGTCGTCTGTCTCAAGTCTATGTAGTATAGGGTTTTCCAAAGTTGGGAACATAAATCTTTATAGGTAAATAGTAATTATACCAATACATAAAAGACATTTTTTTTAAAATAAAAGTTGTAACCCATCGGTAGACTTAAAACTAAGTTGATCGACGACTTTCGAAAATTGCAGAGGCAGCCCAGGCACCCTAGGCTGCCACCGTTGGCACGCTTATGGGTTGTAACCGCAACCTCCCACTCTGAAAATTGCAATTACTTCAATCGCGGAACAACCGTTTTGTTTTCTATAAGCATTTTATAAATTATTTAATTTAATACCTTAATTAAAATGAGCATTGAAACAAAGAACAATATTTTGAAATACTCTGGCTCGACTATCTCAGCATCTTCGAAAGCTATTCAAAAACCAAAACTTTTATATGAAAACAATATTGCTCAAGAAAATGAAATTTCTAGTTTCAGTATTCATACTTCATAAAGATAAGTTTCTAGATCAATCATTGAATAACAGTCAACACCACAAAACCAAAATCAGCCGTTTTTAGCGCTCTTGGTGGACAATGCCTTGCATTGAATGTCGTAAAATAAAGACTCAAAAATGTTTTGAGAGAACGTCGTACCTGCGTGTGTTAAAAAAATAGTCGTACGCATAACTTACTTAAAAATAAAAGTATTCATAAAGTTCTCCGCGATACCTTAGATAATATTCTTGCCTTTAAATTGTATAAGATGTGAATTCGCTATAAGTCGCGACTGGTCATGATCTTAACGTTCGCCGAGCATAGAAATTACGGAGTAAAATGTATTGCTGTGAACGTAAAATTGTCCATGTCGTAGGTTTGTAAGACGGAGATAAACTGACCAAGTGTTAAGCAATACAAATAAAAGAGAAGTGTTGCTCTTTAATGTAGGAGTGCATTGAGGTTATGAATTAAAAAATAGCAGACTTGGTCACAATGTAGATTTCACTACTTTGATAGGCCGACTTTTTTGGGAGGGAGTTTGGAACTTGGCCTTTTTTCACTGTTATGTTTTTGTTGGGGATATCATTTATTTTTGCGAGATTCAGCGTCATGGACGACTTGTTGTTATTATTTATTATTTATTTTTAATAATTTATTTATTTTTTTAAATTAATTTTTTTATACGTCTTAGATTTTCTCTTGTAAGACCGTTTGGGTTTCTGTTGAGGAGCTGAGAAATGGGACTCTTGAGCGTTGTCAATACCAGGCAAAGATACCCAAGTACGATCTTTTATTTTTCGTCGTCGAGACTTTTTAGATGGAATGTCTGTTAAGTCTGGCCTATACAAAGTTCTTAGACGGTTATATTCAACAATGGCACTATTCTTGGCTTTCACCTGACAGGGATTAAAATTAATTAAGTGAACTCCCTGGAGGCTCGTCACCCTGGAGAGGACCACGTACGCTTGACCACACGAGAAAGTTGAGTTGCCAACATCTAACAAAGCATTTGGTAAACTTAATCCCTGACTCTTGTGGATGGTAATAGCATAAGCTAAACAAATTGGGAATTGATTTGAATAAAATAAATGTGCGAAAACCTGATTATGTTTTATAAATATATATATAATTCAACTACAAACAATTTCTTATTACCATATTGTAACTCTGTTTGAAAGTAAACGTTTATGCGTGCTAAGCGCGCCACTTCATACGTTTAGAAATACACACTCTGGAGAGGCATTCATTTTGAAAAAAATTCAATTTTTAGATTTTTCTCTTTAGTTACACTATAAAATCTACCTTTGTGTCAAATTTCACGTTTCTACCTATACGGGAAGTGTCTTATAATTTTGATGATCAGTCAGTGAGTGAGTGAGTCAGTCAGTAACAATATTGCAAATTTTGAAATCCTGCCATTTTGAAATGGCATAATATTAAGGGCTCATTTTCTTACAGCGTCCTAAGCTACTAGAGGTTAATCTGTGTTTTAAATTTCAAAAGTTTATCTTAAGAAGAAACAGAGATATATGGGTTAGAAAAAAAGGGCGAATTGGTTCGTGTAAAGATACACTGGCATTGCTGTAACTTGGCCTGGCGCACTGCCGTGCGCTCAGATCTGTGTGGCGTCCCCTTAAGGCATATGTCAATAAACTTATAAAGTTTATAAGTCTACGGCTTAAGGCTACAGTAAATCAGTAAATTACACACTGTCTGAGGCCTGGTACTTACTACCGAGAACTAAGAAGCACCTATGAGGGTCATAAGCAGTAATATCTATTCATAGAATTTGTCCCACCCTGCTTTGTCAATGTTAAGGATTTGTTTTTTTATTAAACTACAAATTCAAAGTACAATTTTGAAGTTACTTTATTGAATAGGTACATTGGTTTATTAAACTCCAACATTTTATTTTTTTCAATTTTTTGAGAATGTTTTATTGTTTTAAGTGCTTGTGCTCGTCGTACTTAATGTTTGTCGACCAAAATTTGATCGCTTTTTTTTTGACATATTTATTGAACTTCAGGTAGGTGTATACAAAAACCAAACAAAATGAACAACCGTTGTCAAGTGATTACCTACCAAAAAGCAGCATTAATTTTTTTAAATTTACATAGATATTTTAATTATATTATGTAACCATTGCTAATCTGTAACCAACGGGAACCGAAAAGAGCAGGTATAAGTTTATATCACTTCGTTGTATAGTAGGTTACAAGTGGGTCATTGAAATGGAAGGTATTAAATATGAATTCAATAATATTATAATATCATTGTACATAAAAAACGATTCTAAGCAAAGACGGTCTGTCAGCCTACAATATTAGTTAGTAATTGAATACCTATATCACAATGTGATGATTTTATTGTGATTAAAGTAATTTATTTTACTATTAAGCATTAGAACTACAGCAGGTTAAATTCATTTTTACCAAAAGATTGCATTTGAAAAGTCATTGTGTGTATAAAATATAATAGTATAGGTACTGGGTACTCTACAAGTTTCAAGTCGGTACAAACGAATAATATTTTTAAACTAAAACAAAATAACTTAAATCAATCATTATTGGTTATTTAATAATATGTAATTTCATACAATGCGCTACTTTTTCGCTACGTTTTTTAAAATGTTCTAATTTAAAATTGGTGGTATAAAGTTTGAACTGGTATGACATTTTTCCTCATTTCAGGCAATATTTGACGATCGGTGACCGGCGTCGTACCACTCGTACCTACCTAGATCACGGGTGTAAATAGACAGATACGCTGTGTCACTGCTACATTACTATACACAGTCGTGTATGTGATTTAGTAAATGCGACTTACTTGTTGGTATGTTGTATTTTACGATAATACAGTTTTTAAGTGAGTTATGAACGTTTTTAATTAACGCTGTTTTATGTGCTCAAAATGTACGCAAACCTAACTAACCTGACGCAAAGCTATCATAAAAAATCACCATACGAAGACAGATAATTTTCTTACCTTCAAGTTTCATAATATGTCGATTCACTCGAATGTTTAAATTGCAGGAGCTAAACGTGATCTGCTGAGCTTCAATTTCCTATGTTATGCACTTGTAAGACCGATATAACACACGAGTTATGAATATTTTAATATTTTAATATTTTAAGTTGTACCAAACAATTAACAATTTTTAAATACTCATAAGAGTCATAACTCTCTTTAAAATTAAAATATAATAACAATAAGCCTATGAGAAACCCTCCGTAATAACTAATAATCTTACCTTTAATTTTAATAATTGGTCAATTCACTCTAATTTTTAAGCTAACTGAGCTAAACGTGATCTGCTGTACCTACGTAAAATTTAATGTGTCACGCTCTGGTAAGACGGAGACAACACATGCGGGTGTAGCGTCCTCTTAATACTTAATAGTTAATATATAGGTACACTAGGTAATAGTTGCTCGTTTTCATCCGTTACGTCAAAATTTCAATTTAAAATTTTTAATTAATTACTCCCAAATCTCGCGTATCTAATTATTACAGCCCATGGCAGCAAAGCAAACACTGTATTAATTGATAGTCCTTTCATAAAACAAAACCTAGGTTGGTTCAAGTGGTTAATACTGAGCAAATCCGTCCGCCAACCGTATTTTAATGACGTTGATAATAAACAATAACATACAATATAATAATAGTATACTGGAATAGGCATGATAAAGACGTAAAGTTTACTTTACCGTAATACGAAATACCGTGGAAGTTGGTAGGTTACTTGACTGTCACTACTGTCGACGCATTACACATGCGATTTGGTCATTTTCGCATTTCACCTCACTATTATATCTGAATTCTCGATCACGATTTTCGACGTTCATTACTTGCGTATGGTTTTTCCCATGTTTTGTTTATTGTACAGCTTGAATCTCCAACTTATAGTGTCCACTCAGCATAATATACTTTAGTATTATTCAAAGGAAGTATGGCTACTAACAGTTTACAAATATTGAAAAAGGGAAAGCGACCAGCACCGTCAGAAACTTCTGAAGACGAAGACGAAATTTATAATGATGGTAAGAATTGTGTACCTATTTGTGTAATATCCGCTGTACCACACTTTACGCAAGTTGTGTATGTAATCTAATGAAGTCAATGTAACAATATATCATTAGCCAAGAGATCAAGTCAAAGTCAAATTTGTAGTTTGTAGTTGAGGAGGTAGGTAATTAGAATATAGATTAATTGACATCCACAATTTACCATCCGTCAGTTTTTAGGTCTGTTGTCACCTACAGTATGCGGGTAGTTCTCACCCATTATTAATTGTTTTGCAACATGTTGCTCTTTGTTAAACTATTTTCTTAAATTCCAGTTATATTAACTTATGAAAAATCTTTTATTTCATTTTCAAGTTTTAAATGCTAAAATTAAAAATGTTCTTGGTACATTTTTATATTAAAAGTATCGGCGAATTTTTTTTTCTCGCTGACCCATGAGCAACAGCACATTTTAAGTTCACAATAATGATAATAATCATTTTAATTTCTAAAATTATAGTGAAATTCCAATTATAAAAATTAAATGTAAGATTATCATTATTAGTATTATCTAGGGAATTTCATGTTTTTTTAAAATGTTATTTTGATTTTAGAGGGATTTATGAGTGTCTTATGTTTTACAAACAATTTACAGTTATTTAAATACTTATAACTCCTTTAGGTAAAAGTCTAAGAAAAAAAATGCTCCGACATCCTCTTAAGAAGGATTTAACAGTTGATAATATGTTTACATTATATTCAACAAACAACTTCTTCCATATATTTATATGAAAAATCATTATTAATTGTAGAATATAAAATGTCTACCTACATTTTTATTTTTTTAATGTTAAACATTGATCACAAGTATGTTTTAATATATTGTGTAATCTGTTGCTTGCCAACTGAAGTGGTTTTTTTATTCTAAGAATGTCATCGAGATGTGAAATTTTCAAGTCCTCTACTTCACAGATTTAATCTATAGTATTTTTTTTCATACTTGTAAAAAATATCTAAGTATTATAATTAATTTTTTATTGGCAGTTCAAATCAGAGTGGGGTCTAATTACCAGGCTGACATCCCAGAGCTATTGTCACAGCCAGGTATGTCCTGTCATGAAGATTGTTATTTTTATATTAACTGTATCAACTTTATTGTTATAATTATTTAATGTCATGATTTTATTACTTACAGAAAACAAGCATAAGCAGCGCCCAAAATCACTATTAGTTTGGCTTCCACCCAAAAATATTTCAGAAGTTGAATGTACTACAACTCATTTATTTTTATTTTAACAAACTATTTTTATAATTTATTTTTTACAGTAAATGATTACATATTGTTTTCAAAAAATAAATATGGTTATGGCACTGAACAGTGTTTAGGCTTGCTGTGCTGGAATAAACATAACTTGGAAAAGTCTATTCATGATCTACCAATGTATTCACCCTATTCAAACTGGTCCATTCATGATAAGGCTAATTTTGAATCTGCCTTTAATAAGATCGGGAAGAATTTTGTACAAATTGCAAAAATGGTAATTGATGTACAAATAAATTTAACTATTTAAAACTCACATGTTACTAAATTGTTTTTTTAGCTTCCTGACAAGTCATTAAAATCAATAATCTGTTATTATTATTTGTGGAAAAAAAAGAAAACTGGGCGGTACAGTGTTAAACCATCAAATAAATTGGAACATTTTAATGCAAACAAGATTCAAATTGGGAGTGGTGAGAAACCTAGTTCATCAAAATCTAAGCCTGTTAACATGGTAAAAATAAGATACTATCTAATTCATTAGTTGCATATTAAAAGTTGTATTAGTTTTATGTTTGTAAGCTGTTTCCATTGACTCTGTCACTAGCTCACGTAAACAGGAAAATGTTATTATGATTTTGAAACATTTCTTGTCTTTTTATTTTTCCTACTTAGTTGATATAGACTTGTAGTTGTGAAAGAAACCTTTCTTTGATTTACCTAACAATTATTACTTTTCCCCTCATAAGGTTCTCCTAAAGCTAGCTGCTCTTGAAAACATATCATCTCTAGGTCCTGATGGAATACATAATTCTTTTCAGGATAAGACATATTATCTATTCTTTATGGTTTATTTTTCAAAAATCTCTTGATGAAAATATTTTCTCTGATTTATAGAAATGTTGATCCATCATACTTATTTTAAGATAGATGCCCATCTCTAGTGACTCACTATAAACCTATCTCTATTCTTAGTTTCACAAAAAAAAATTTTAATCTCTCTTCTTAGATGCTATTGAACCTTTAATTAATCTCACTTTAGCAAACAACAGCATGGTTTTTGTCCTGGCCATTCAACTACAATATGTAACTTTGATTTTTGTAACTACATACTTCATGCATTTAGAGAAGGAATCAAGTAGATGTCATATATTCATCTATATGTACTTTGCTAAGGTATTTGACTCAGTTAACCATAAGGTCTTAATTATAATATTGAGAACGCCTGGTTTTGGTAATCCTCTTCTTACTTGGTTCAATTCATTTTTAGTTAATCGCTTACCATGTGTAAAATTATTTAATTCCTAATCTGAAGTATTTTACTCTGCACCTGGCATCCCCCCTGACATCTGTCCTCCTTACTATTTTTGCTGTCTGTTAATAGTGCTTGTTTATCACTTAAGCATTGTCAGTTGTTATGCTCTACTGATATTATTTCTGAAAGTTAACTCAGTCACTGATTCTTCAAAATTACTTCAATTAATATATTCACCTGTGGTTGCTTTCCTACATCATTTTTTTACTCTATTAATGGTGTCAACACGGAGCCATATTTAGGGAAGAAACATAGTGTTATTGCCTCGGGCTGCTAATTATGAGAGGATGCTTCAAATATCAAGTTTTTAAATTATATAAAAATTGTATTCAATTTAATGAAGCTTAATTTTTGTTGTCCCAGGGTACCAAATACCCAAATACAGCCCTATGTTAAAGTGCTTCATAATGACACAAATGTTTGTGATCTTGCAACTTTATTTTAATTTCATCTCTTTTTCTTTCCTCGAGCTCGCATTGACAATATTACTTGGCATTTAAAGTTTTATTAAAAGAAAAGTTGAGGAATTCAAACGTTCCAACTCATTTAAACTAATTTTTTGTTTGCTTGTCAGACCTATTGTTGAATATGGCTCTGTTGTTTGGGATCCGCAGACTGCTGACACTTGCAATCAACTCGAGCGTGCCAAACCCAGATTTCTAAGTTTCATAAAATATACTAATAATATTAACTGCATACCTCATGAGTAGTTCTCCACCCTAATTGACTGCCTTTGTCATCATAATATATATTTTCTTCTAGAACTCCTTTCCAGATCTGTTGACTTTCCTTCCCTACTTGCACTTTTAAATTTAAAGGTTCCAAATCAAAATTCCCCTCAATTATTCTTGTTTTGTTATTCTCACTCCTCAACTAATTACTTGAAAAACAAGTCTGTACGACTGTACGATGAGAATAATCTTTCATTTTTAGATAAAGATTTATTTTGCACTATATATAATTACATACTCACATTTTACTGTTTCCCTTATAAGGGAGTAATCCCTAGAAAGAGGAAGTATGTTGTTATAACTGCAGGAAACACAATTTTTTTAAGATATTTAAGATTTGATTTAAACTTTACTTTTATAGAATAGATACATTTTATTATAAATTAAAAAGGGAACAAAAATTAGTAATTACAGAGCATCCTCATAGTTAATGTTAATTATTTTATTGATATAAAATAACCTATTTTCATCTAAGTATAAGTACATTTTTTTTTTGCAAAAACCTTAAGATGTAAGTCCAAGATCACTTTGCTTATTTTGTAGAGTTCCTAATATCAAACCCAAAAAGGATCTATGTGTAAAAAATGTTCACAGTTGGGGTATGAAACGAAATATGAATATTTAAAAATTAATATTGTTGGTTATTAGTTATTACATTAAAATTATGATTGATATTTTTAAATTATACAATAATAATTTAATTTGTCTTATGTAATCTCTAGAACTAATGAAAGTATTAGACCAATACTATGTCCACCATGTTCAATCAGTTTCCATTTAAATTTTATTTATGATAAGCCTTCACTACCACAAGACTAATATGTTAAATCATGATAATCTTCAATCTATTGCATCTGGATAAAATAGCCAAGGAGAGACTATTTTATCAATAATAGGTGATGAGGTTGTATCATTAACATTATTAATTAAAGCTATGTGAAATGTAACCTTTTTATTGTTATTTTTAATGACAGGTTTATTTCCACAACCAAACTATTTTACATGTGTATAAGAAGATTAAACTACGTATACATAGAAACAGTGAACCCACTACAAGTGACATTTTTCCATTGTGGAGTTTTACATGATATACAAGATACAATCAAGGGGACATTTAACATTTTTTAACATTTGTTTAATAACTAGTTTCATTAAGAACTCACATGGAAATACATAAAATGTTACTATGGTTTAATGTTTTATTGTATTTAAAATTGATTATTTTTTAATTTGTATTCAACTCTTAACTGTTTTATACATAAAGGTACCTTTATAATTTGTATTAAAATAAAAATAATGAATTATGGATTATACTCATTTTCTTTGTTGATGTGTGACCAGTATTTCTTAAACTATTTTCTATAAGTAATATTGTGCTGTGTACAGTATGTAATCTACACACTACAGTGCAAGTGGAATAATTTTTTTTTTTCATTGTTGGTTGAATATATTTTATTTCTTAAAAACTCAAAAACTGAACGTCTTACTAGCATTGAGGATAGATATACTCATTTATATTACTTATATACTTATTGTATACAGAAAAGACGAAACGAATTAATAGGTCATATTTTAAGACATTATGGGCTGCTATTACTAATCTTAGAAGGTGTATTCGACGGAAAAAACCATAGGGGAAGACCAAGATTGCAATACATAAGCCAGATAATGGAAGATCAAGGGTGTAACTCATACCATGAATTGAAGAGAAAAGCTAGTGATAGAGAAGCATGGAAATTGCTGCAAACCAATCATTAGATTGAATACTGCAGAGAGAGAGATTACTTATATTGATATCACTATAAAATAAACAAAATACTAAGAGCATCCTATCTCTAAAAAAAACCATTGACTTTAATGCTCTTCGATAAAAGTAAAAAGTTGGCTTATCGAATTTTACAAATATTATACGAGGCTGAAGCCCCTCCATCTATTTTCTATAAAACAACCCAATGCAGCTTTGCTGCAATCTTTGTTTGTGTTATAACTAGGGCTCGTGAGTTCATGCATTTGCATGTTTTTTTTTGCTACACAGAAAAATATGCTAACTGAGATACAAATCCGTTTCATAACAATAGAAATAATAATATGAAGTTTAATATTGCATGTTTTTGCATGTTTTGGGTGTAAAGGCATATTTGGCATATAATCGTTTTTTTTAGAGTTTATAGGGCATATTATTTCATAAAAAAATTGTTTAGAAAAATATTCGAAATGTTTCTTGTTTCTTATTTATTTTCCCGTTTACTAAATGATAGTGTTTTGATTTATTTTTATTTTCGTGTGACTACTTACTTTTCTAGTTTTTCCTTATTTAGATTTTATGCGTTTTACTAAGTACCACGGAAACAATTTTATAGCTACCACTACCATCCTCCGCCGTGTATAGTCCCTCGTCGAAATGATACCTGTGCAATGTTTCTTACCAATCCGCATCTACAATTTTGTACACTGGTACAATATAGTTTTCTTGCACACGCCAGTCGTCGATGAGTTGTTTAACTGTACGAGTCGTGAAAATGTCAAATAACTAATATTTCATTCCAAACATTTTCATTGTAGGTGCAGGATAATGGTGTACAAAAATCAGACAAAAAATGACTACCTAATTAATATTAATAAAGATGACAAATCCATATGATTATATGAACTTCACAAGTATTCATTTTATTAATTTTGATTGTTAAATATATAAAAATTAAAAGGAATAAAATACTTTTAAAATTAATGGATATATTCTTATTATTTTAAAATGTGCTCATAAATATTTTACATAATGCATATTTTGAGTGCATAATTTAAAAATGTAAGGGCATTTAAATGCATATTTTCGAACTTTTTAGCGCATATTTTAATGCATATTTTGCCAATTTTTAGTGCATGAATGCGTGCTTATTTGTGCTTTTTTTAGTGCATGATCTTACGAGCCCTGGTTATAAACAAAAAAATTAATTATTTTTACTCTAGTTTTCTTATTATTTTATTATTTTTACGTACTAATTAAAGTGTTCATGACTATTTTCAAGTCTTCCTTCACAAATTCAAAGCCATATGTGTTATCATTGACCAAATATTTAAAAAGGTACATAGGTACATAATATAGGTACTTTTAACTTAGACTGAATATGACATGTAATGGGTGTTTTTGTTAATATAAAATTTGACAACAAAATATAAACAGATTTTCAAAACATTAAACAAGTAAAAATGCATGTCATGCAGGCTTATGTATATACCATGGCTTATATTGTCATATAAAATATATCTTAAAGCAATGAATGTATCTATAACGTGGTCTGAGAATAGTCAAAAATTCATATCCACCCCCCTTTTCAAAAAAGATGAGCACGTCACTGGTAACTTCCATACCTGTCACGTAAACAGATATTTGCCTAGAGCAACAAGAATATCAAGTGAAGAGTCCTATGTGTAGCATCCCAAATTTAATTTAATTTTTTTTTCTTGATACCTATTAAAATTAAAATTGTATTTTTGTTTGGTGAGAACTCAATACTTACTAGGTTTAAGTCTGCTTGTAATCACTTAATGTTGATTTTAATATTTTAATTTAACTTTTATTATGGTTTAATGAAGTAAATAAAAAAGTTCTATAAATATTGATCTTGGTGTAGTAATTAAATTGTGTCATTGGGAGAATATTTAAATCTTATAAGATACCAATTTGATTATTTTGAAAAAAAATGCTGTGGAACTAGCTAATTGTTTATCATATTTGAATGAAAAAAAAAAGAGACAAGTAAGTAATTATCTATTTGTTTCATAATTTTTTCTTAATTATTATGTGATAATATATAATAATAGCTATTTATAATAATATTGTAATACATATAAGAAAATTGAGTTTTTATGAAGTAGATCCTAAATACTTTAAATTAAAAGTACACTGTCGAAAATTTGGTTTTTAAATAATTATATAGGTACTTAAAATTTAAAAATAATACCATTTTATGTAGGTAAAAATTTTATTTCATTTTTTAGGTAGTATTTGATGAATAAAATATCAGAACAGTTTAAACATGATGCAAAACAGAACTACAAAACTACCATTTATTTTGTAATAATTGATTAGTTAAAGACTCAGTTGAATATAAGATTTGAAGCATATATCAGTAGTAATTATCAGTATATACAGCATTTATCAGTTCTCGAAATATATGGTTGTATTCTGATGTTATAAAAAGATATAGTGTTCATGATATAAAATAAACTTGTCATGACTTGACTAAAAAAATGTCTAAGATACTCAAAGCTAAATGTTTACACTTAAGAGATTAGAGAATACATTTTAACACAAACAAATTTAGAGGAAAATTATAATATATTGTCAGTATGTCTGATGTTAAAATGTGTCAAAGAGAACACTCTGGAAAAAGTGCTTCCAAATTTAGAAATAGTAATGTGAATATATTTGTGTACTGCTGTGGTCAATTGTACTGTTGAGTGTTTATTTTCTGTTCAAAAAAGAGTAAAAAATTACATGAAATTAGCAATGACAAAGTATTGTCTTAATGCATTAGCTTTATTCAATAGGCATTGAAGTTAATTATGGATTCATTAATTTATGATTTTGCTATAACAAAAGCTAGAAGAAAAAATATTGTTTAAAAAGTTTATATTGTCAATATATATTTTAATACTTTAAAAATACTGTAGTTCAATATTTTAACTTCTAAATACTTTGATAATATAGCTGTAGTAGGTAGGTATTTAATAGACATTTGTGTAAATACACGTGTTTAATAAGATAATAAAAAAACATTCAAAAGAGCACAAAACATTAAAAAAAATGTCTTAAATTTATTATTAAATGCTAAACCATTGTAGTCAAAACTACTAAAAATGATTTTGTCAAAATCCAATTTAAAAAAAAAAAGTTGATAAGTGGATGTCGCTCTACTGTACATTAGGTGTCTAGAAAGTCGCTGCAATGGATCATAAGATATCATTGTACATGAAAAATGATTCTGAGCAAAGACGGTATGTCAGTGTAGGAATATATTTTTTTGTTATAACCAGTGATCAAAATGGCTCAAGATTAGTGGAGGGATGCCTTACAATTCAGATTTCCTGATATCATCATAACATTCTTCATACCTTGTATAGTATTTTTTTTTATAGTTCACATTTTGTTTATAATATTTTTCTGTGGAAATTTTAGATTATAAAGTTAAATTTGTAAATTGTAATTAATACGAACAATATAATATGTAATATAAAAAAATATATTAGTTTTTATTATTATTATTATTATAAAAGGCGCTACCGTTCGAAACTCTACGAAACGACCTATACGAAAAATAAAAAGTTTTCTTATACATAGGTATAAATATAAAAATCATAATAATTATTTCATTTTAAAACACAAGTCTTAGAAGGAATGCGTTATTCTAGACAAAATAAGTTAAATAAGTAGAGGGATGAAAAATGTAAATACAAAAAAGTAGAGGGATGTCATCCCCCCTCCCATTTCGACCACTGGTTATAACTTATTACTATTATTATCAGAGCTAGGATTTGTATGCAATAAAAAATTGTAAAATATGCATTTTATTTACCAAAATATGCAAAAATATGCATTCAAATTTTTATAAGATAAGCACAAAAATATAGTTACAAAAAAATATTTATGTATTGAAATAGTATAATATAGTATAATTGAGAAATAAAATTTATAATTCACATTCACTACCTACAAGTGTTACATGCTATGACCATATATTTTTTTTTAAATTTTCGAAAATGAATGATCGGCGATTGTTTTAACGTTTATCTTTCTCTGTCAAACTATTCAAACTTTTATCGTATAGCCCGTATAGGTACCTATTGTACCATAAGATTGTATTTATAAAAACAAAATTTATGTTTGACAAAAAAATCAAGTTCCTTTTATACTTTAATCAGCAGGGTTAGAATTAAATACGAAGTATTATTATTAATTACGAAATATACTATAAAACATGCATTTTTCGCATTCTTAAAATCGAAATATGCAATAGTATTAATTGTATTCAATATATGCATTATGCAATAATATGCAAAAACATGTAAAATAAAAGCACCATCGTTTATTTCATCATGAGGCGATTCGTGGACATTACTGACAAAATCAATAATCAGAAGTCGCAAAAAAAAAAACACGCTGTTGCATATAAATCCCTAGCCCTGCTTATAATTAATATAGTAACTGGTAAGTTAAATTAATATAATTCATAATAATATTCTTAAACTATCAGTGAAGCTGGAAAAATATTAAATATACCTGTATAAAATTGGGTTGTTTTAGAACCGAATTGCACAAAACTGACAAACGTTATTCTTTGTGTTAATATGACATTTTGTCCAAATTTGAACTTAAAATGTCTATAAAAATAACTGTATTCATATATTTTTTAGATTTTTTATTTACGGAAAAAACTGCTTGTGGAACCTAGTTTTAAATTTGCAATCCTTAGCTATATAAATTGAACATTTTATAAATATTTAACTACAAAATAATTTGTACATTTTCAATTTGATAAATTTTGTCAAAATTTGAACCTTATATACTTATAAAACAAAATAGTGCTTATGTATTTTTAATATTTTTCAACTGCTATTGTAACAATGTAACAATACATCAAAAGTTTTGTATTAATTTTTCATGCTTTTTGACAAAACCAATACAATTTTATTGACATAGAAAAAAAAAGAAAATTGAAAATGACCTTAAACAGCTTCAAACGAGTCAAAATATTTTGTATATTTTATCAAGGATACGAATTGATGAAATAAGCATAAAATGTAATTTTCAAGTGTCCGTAGTAATTTGTTTTTGAATTACAACAAAATAAGTAAATCGCTACCTTCATGAGAAATCGATCAGTCCAATGTTATACAAATTTCAGTTTCAAACACTCTTAAAAAGGTAATTTGACTTTCCAGTAGTAACATTCTTTTTGATAAATTTTGTATTACATTTTTAAATTTTAAATGTCAAAAGAAAATTTTTTATGAATTTCTTACCCCTAAAAGTTGCTAATTTTCGTGATTTTTACGAATTTTGTCAAAATTCTAAGTTAAAATGCTCGTAAAAAATAATTGTGTATTTACTCTCAACTTTTTTTTAAATTTCTACTAACAACAACTTACGAGGAACCTCGTATTACATTTACAAGTTTTTTGAAAGAGCGAAAAAATTTTTATGAACGGAAGTTTAAAAAAAAATTATATAATCAAAATGTTCATATGCCTATAGAGTTCAACACAAGTCAAAATATTTTGAGGTACACTAATAACCAAAATCGATTTTTTCTTAAACTAGTTTTGGGTGAAATTCCTGTTTTTCCATAATTTTTTATTTGTTTTTACTGTCACTTTTGAAAACTATAGGGAAAAAATTCACTTTCCTACCAAAAAAGTTGTTGTTGAAAAAAATTGAATCACTTTTACTGCCTGAAACCGTGATGATAAATAAATATAAAAACACACATCATTGTAAAATTAATACATTCATCGCTCCTCTCAGAATCTAAAGTATAATATTACTTGAGCAGATATTGGGATACCTATAATAACCTTGTGACCCATCATTTGGATGGGCTTGAAATAATCACCCATCTTACGCTCGTAAAAGTTGCGCTACCTAAGTCACAAAGTCACCTTACACAATGATCTACCAACATAAACATATTATTTTAGATTCTGAGTGGAACGATGAATGTATTGATTTTACAATAATGTGTGTTTTTTAATTTTTTAATTTTTTTTTTATGTTTGACTTAAGCAGAAATATGTCTTTACTTAACATGTGATGTTTTGAGCTAAAGACAATAGAAGTATCAGAATTCCCATTCAACATTTGTTTTCTTTTTTTAGTATTAAAAATACTAAAAGAGAAGATATTTTTGTATATTTAATGTTGTATATAGGCAGTGTGTCCATTTATTTTCAATTTTAATTTACATTTTTTAAATATTTCAAAAAAACTATAGATAAAACACTTAAGAAAGATATTCTTATTCTACTAACATTTTCAATACATGAAAACACGACAAAAATACAAATATACTTAAAAAGCAGGTAAATTAATGTTTAAAGCAAGTAAAATGTACAGGTATAAGATAAGCAATTACTGCAAGCTGGTCAAATTATGTTTTTCAATTTCTCATAACTTATTGAATAATGGGTTATAAACGTTAAACCTAAACCATTATTCTTAGAATTGAACATTCTTTTAAATTAAAAAACTTATTCTTGTGCTTTGTCCTCTTTTAAGGTGCCTAGAAGATCATGCGTACCATCAGATTTCACCTTATTTCGGCCCTGATAGTACATCAATTATCATAAAAGCAAGTTATTTGATATTAAGTGTTTCGTATCATACTAGTATATTTGCCAAGTATTCATTAGTGTATTCACCATTATTTCAGCTTATGACACAATTACTGACAATATTCAGGAAATGAACAGGTAACTTCAACATAGCGACTAGCAATTATTCATAAATTACAAATAATTGGTAAGTACAGTAGTAATACAAGTATATGACTAATATAATAATTACTAATAAAAATTTAAAAGTTAAAAAAAAGTTAAAACATTTAAATTAATCTTTTAAAACAATTATTTTTAATTTTTATTGCTTGACATTACAAGAGTAACATAATGTCCAAGACTTACTATGAAGGAAAAACTACATTTTGATAAGTCACAACATTTGGATGATTTATTTTACACTGAAGTTATTAGTGTAAAGATTCTAAATACAACATCTCAAACTTCATCTTAAAGTCAAAAATGTTTATGTAATACTTGCTATATTCGAACTGTATATTAGATACAACATATTATAATGTTGTTGATATTCATTATTAAATTCAACACATTTTGATGTTCAATGTTATATCATTTAAGTGATGGGTAAGTAAATTAAGATGATTAAAACATCCTAGTTTAACCACAATACCTAGATCCACTTATACTTTTTAGTGCAATAAATAACCTTGTGTTGAAGTAAGTGGAGATCATTGAAGAATTTGTATCAGGCCACAGTCTTTTTTATTACTCAATAGTGAACTATTACTGTTTTTAGTTGCAGAACGGTAGACCAATTTAAGGCACAGCCTAAAACTACTTCATATAATACGTTTCAATAATACCTATACGTATTATAGTCATTATTAAGTATAAAATAAGATATCATTAGCATATTACAAATCTATCCATGTATTAATTAAAATCGACTTATCTTCAATTCAACTAGTTAAAAAAATGTTCAATATAAATAATTATGCTTTTGTAAATTTAAAAAATTTTATTAGTCAATACAAATTAGATTAAACATTTAATTTTTTAGCAATCTTCTTTCTCATTAAATCAGTTTTTGTTGGTTTTTGTTTCTAAAATAAACGGAAAAAAATGTATTAATATTACATAATTTTATGAGTATTCTTAAAAAAAAGTCAACCATAAATATATACATGCATTACACGACAATATAGGAATCGATTTATGTACCTATTGATTTTGAAATTTTTTTAATTATGTTTGTAATAATACACTATATTCAAAATAAAAGAAAAAGCTGGAAGCAGAAAAAAACATCCTGTGACTGCGCACATCATTACTACTATTTACTGGCTGTCATCGGTGGAGGTCTGAAGACTAAATTTAGTTGTGAGTGAGCAAAGCAGTAACCTTTTATTCTGAATAGAGTAAAGTAGGTATGCATTAAAAATATTCAAATAAGAATGAAATGGGGTATGGTTAATGGATATTAAATTTAAAAATTAATTTATAAATTAAAAAAATATATTAAGGGTTTAATATATATTACTTGCTAAATTCACAATAATAATGTAAACATAATATATCTGGTGTATAATTAACCAATTCAGATGTAAAATTGTCTATACCAAAAGAAAATACTAGAATTTAAAAATCTATTTATCAAAAAATCAATCTCTCGTAATGTATTAATTAATTAATCATGCTGAGCTGGTAACGATTCTTACCATATGATTTACAATTTGAATTTTATAAATAAATCATTACCTTTTTATTCATTTTTGGTTTCATTATTTCTCCTTGGAAGTTTTGACCACTTTTACCTATAGGTTTGGTCCTTTTTAAATATGGTGACGGTCTTTGGTTGAACACCTTATTAGTATTTTTTTTCGTTTCAATCCTTTTAATGCGAATTTCTCTATTTTGAACCTTTTTCCCTTTTATTTGCATAGCTAACTCAACAGATTCTTTAGTCTGTAATGAAAAACACATTAACTAAATATAACAAATCAATTTGAATAAATTTTAAAATAATCATTTTTATTATCAATTCAGAGTTAAAAGCTGTTGATATTTTCATTAAATGCAACTTTTAGTACAGTACGAGTCAGCTAGATTGGCACGGTAGAGATATTAGGTAAACCAGGGGTCCGCCGTAATTGGATGTTATTACTAAACATTAAAACAAACCAACAATAATTGTTACAGAATATTTTTAAAACTGATATTATATTATTAATTTAAAAGAAAATATTCTGTTTGACTTTGTTTTATAACAAGTACAGAGTTTATTATTAATATACAAATAAATGCATAACCCAGCGTATAATGACCAAAACGCAACTAGTTTGAGCTGCATTTACTGATAAGTGCTGTCACGCTAATCTATCTGAAATCGACTGTAAATATTTTTCACACAATTTTAAATAAAATGTAGATAATTAAACATAATACATAATATCATTCAGTATATACAATGTGTCCACAATGCAACCACTAAATATTTTAGCCTGATGACCTTAAAATAAAATACGGTTTGCTGTAATAGCTAGGAGATACACCACATTTGAGAAAATTTCAAATTGTTTACCACTTTGGTGTGGGCATGCACAGTACATACAACTTGAGTTTTTTGAATAATGACCCTTATTATTTTTACCAAATATGGATGGGTCATTTCTTCCTTAGTATTTTAATACATTGATTATGGTTTAAACCTAAAATTGACTAAATTTCAGGATTACAGCATTTAATTCAACTTTTTTTATTTTCCCAAAAATATAGCACACTTGTATTGAGTGATTCATTTTTTTAACTTATAAAATATTCAACATTTATTCTAATATAAGGTCGGCTAAGATATTTATTTAATATGGGACAAACGACTGTATATTATACAACACATAATCAATGATGATTAATATTTTAGTTCTAACAACACACCAGGGTGATTTTTTAAATATGTTAACCCCCTTTTTCCTTTAATAATACATTTATTCACATTCTGACTTTTAGAATATTTAAATATACCTAATGCAGGCTTAAACCATATTTTCAAACATCTGATATTTTTTGTGCTACTCAAGCAGTGTCATGTGGCAATACAAACTTCTATTTTTCAAAAAAGAACCACCTTTTTCCACTGAAAATTATTTAGATGGTTTACTTGAAATATCAGATGTATCTAAATCAAAATACTAATGAGTAGTTCCCGAATTATTAAAATGTTTATACCAAGGACAACAACCCTTACAAATGGTTTTATAAAAATTAAAACTACATATTTTATTAACTATACAAATTATTTATATTGATAAATCTATATTAATTAGTAATTACTAACTTTTTCAAAACATGTACGCCCCAATATCAACTTGACCAATTACCATAGACATATTATTCTTAATACACAAAGTTATATGATTCAAAAACTACTCTTTTGAATTTCAATTTAGATGAATACAATTTTCAAAAAAAAAAAAGTTTAGTAAATAGGGTTTCTATTTGAAAAAAAATACAGAAATTTGCAATGTCATGGGATGATCTTTAAGTGGTGCAAAATATCTCAAGGATTGGAAAATATAGTCTTCATGTGTATTTAAAAATTTTAAAAATCAGAATTTGAACATATGCATAATTTAGGTATACAAATAGGGTAAGCATACTTAAAAAAATACTCACTTCAAAATCTACATATCCAAAACCTTTGCTCACGCCTGTTGCATTATCACGGACTATACGCACAGCTGATATTGTTCCACAATCTTTAAAATAGTCCCATATTTCATCTTCCTGAATACCTTCAAAAAAGTAAATATTTTTACATATACAAATATACACTAAACAGAGCAATTTTTTTTTTAAAATTCTTATCAGATTGTTTAAAATGTTTACATTTTTATCTTTAACATGAGTTGCTAAACTGCAGCTCATGTCATAAATGCATGATGTGGTTTAAGTCTTAACATTTTTACTAATATTATAATTAAAATGTGGATTTTTATACAATTTTTATGGCAATTTTGTTTTGCATATAACTGCATATTTTGACAAAACTCAAAAATATAATACAACAATTATTTGAATATTTTACAGTATTGTACTTTTTCAAGTTATTTTCTTGTATATTCTCACAATTTTGATTGCATTTTATACCATGGAATATTTTGACACTTTTTACTTTTTAGAGCTTATAAATCCACAGTCTAAGTTTAATATAATAATGAGTATTATTCTTTTTCTTGCTTTTTATATTAATTTTCATTATCTTATAATAATAGTCTCAATGAAAATAGTGATAAAACCAAACAACTACACAGTTCCAAATCAAAATAATAAACTTCAAAACCTATAGGTATAGCTATGTGGATGTTAAGACTATGTATTTATTAATAGAAAAGTACTTCAAAGAAGTTAATAAACTGAAAAATTTAATTAAATAACACTCACTATAGGGAAGATTTCCAATAAATATTCCTTTTTTCATATTCTGCTTATGACCTGTATTTAAAGCCATATCTACTCTTATTGTATGTCCTTCAAACTGGGTAGCATTTAAAACCAATGCTTTTTGTGCCTGTTCGATGGTTTTGAAACGTACATAAACATTAGCAGTATCTCTCTGTGGATGAAAATCACCTTTCATTATAGATACACGTTTAGGCACTTCTAGATTTTTGACAGCAACACTTCTTAATCTAGTAGTTTCTACTTCCCCAAACTTTTTGAATAAATTTTTTATTGCTGACATCTTAACATTTACTGGAACATTGCCAACAAACACAGTTCTTGATTCTTTTTCAGTATAATCCTCAGAAGATTTTATATCCCTAAAAGATTTATCGTAAATATGAATTATATAATTTTTTTAGTTGTAACAAATTACTTACGATGAGTAGTCAGTCGTAGTTAATTTTTTTTCAATTCTTCTTGTTTTATCATTAGGTGTAGTTGAATTATCCTTTGATTTTTTGTTTTTCTTTTTTTTAAATTTTTTTTCAAAAGTTTTGGACGCATTCATAACACCTGGGTTTATGTCACCATCAACTAGATTTGAATCACTGCTTACTGACACAGAAGATTCTTGACTATTAGTTTTTTTAATTTTTCCATTAGCTATTCCTGGTTGTATGTCAACAGCTTCAATCTGTTGAGAATTCAATTTTTTTTTTATCTTTTTTATTGATTGTTCATTTGAATTTTCCTTTGATTTTCTCTTCTTTGGTTTTTCTACAATTTCATTTTTAGATGAATCATTCAAATTTGTTTCAGATTGTAGTTGATTTTCGACATTCTTTTTCTTCTTTTTATCTAAAGTGTAAAACATTATTGTACATATATTAAAGTTATAATGTTGGTCAATTTATAGATAAAGGGACTGTATTGATATTATACAATGTATATATGATTTGCAATTTTTACCTGTTGATTTTTTAAAGTTATTACCTTAGATCATATCCTATGGACTGAGCCATAACACAATGTATTAAAGCACATATAAATGACGAGTCTCTGACATTGATGTTTGATGTGCGCCTGCGCAAGGCTAACCGCGGCACATTTATCAATCAGGGATCAACAACTAAATATACGACGACTAGCTTCGCCCATGCGCACATCACACAATTATTAATGTCAGACTCGGTGGTTATATGTACTTTAAATTGTTTACATATGGGAATTATATGGAAATTGCTCCATCCATTGTATATGATCTAAGGTTATTACTGACCAGTCTAAATTATCTGACTTGATAGTATTAGATGTATAAGCACAAAATACTAAACTAAAATATAGATTAGTCATGGTGTCCTAAACCTAACAAGATTTTAAGGTCATTTTCCAATGTTAAAGATGCACATTTTAATGTAATGAAAAAGCAAAACTATAAATGTTGTTATTTTGTTTTAAATATGTATTCAAAAACATGAAATATACTGAATAGAAGAACAAAAGAACAAACAACAACAAATAGTCACTAGAGAAATAAATCATTTAATAGATATAGCAAATGTTAACCTATTTTAACAGACTAAGGAATAACCAATGAATATCTTAAATATTTTATGCTTATGACCATAAAAATAAAATTCTCTTTGAATTAGATAAAAATTTTGTTACATAAATGCAGTTGGTAAGAAATCTAAACGACTACTAAAATATTTTTACCCGTGTAGCAATAAACATATAAATCTTTTTATAGGTAGGTTATCAGTTTTTTTCTGTTTTTTATTATATAATTTTTAATATTTTATTGTTTTGATTATATATGCATTTATTATAAATGTATTTGTAACTTATTACCTTCTATACTCAAACCATTAAAACACGATATCTATATAATTAGTAATAAATTAATATCACGTTAATTTGAACAAAATTAATTTTATTTTTCAAGTATTAGTGTTATATTAATACATTGTTACTTCTATGTTAAACAAAATAGAAAAAAACCTATAATGATTTAAGATACTTTGACATTACTGAAAGTATTAATATTATTATAAATTATATTAGTTTTTGAGAAGTTTTTTATGTTCTAAAAATAATAAGAAACATGATGTACGGGAGTAGTGAGAACATTTTTTTGGTGATTTATAGTTGTTACTTGTTAGATAGTGGATGGCCTGAATAAATTTCAATCTCCTATGATTCTCTCTGCATTTAGTTCCCACTCCCAGCGTTACCATCATTATTTTTCCAAGACCATGTAATGTATGAATATATTTTTGTGATTTACATATTTTGTGTTTTTAAATACAAATCCGCGCTCTACTGATGACATTTATCTTAATATTTAGCTGATAATTAATTACATAGTAAATACAAATAAAGATTTTTGCAATGTATTAGAATTATAATTTACTGTAGGTAATGTAATTCAAGCATGTAGCTTACAAGGCTAGTTAGGTTGTAGTATTATCAAAAATTAATATTATTATTACTTTAAATAATACACACATAAATACCTTTTTTTGTTTTCTTTATATTTTTATCAGATGCAATCAATTCGCACAATGCTCCAACTGTGTACTCATTAGACATGATATATCTGTAAAATTAAAGCACGTATTAGCACCGTAGCTACAACGATCAAATAATTTCATTTGTAGACAAAATAACTAGAAAATGTATAGTTCTGAACGTTGAAAATAAACATTTTATAACCAAATATAAAAATCCTGAGTAGTACTTACGATTAATACACGACCGTAGTGAATGAAATAAAATAATTTCAAAATATATTGTTATTTGATTGAATTATTGTTCAAAATAATACACTTATCGATGGCTGAGTTAAATGCTAAATTCAAACACGTTCAAATTTAATACAAACCATATTCGAAACTAGTCTACAAATGACAGAAGAATGATACATTTAAGTATTTTATTATCAATTTGTATTTTCACGTGTTTGTAGCGTTTTTCAAATGAAAATTGTTATCACAGTTATCATTGTTGCGTTATCACCATGAATAATTATCATCACGAACCACGATTTTATACGATTATATAAATTATAAATTGTAATTAGAAAGAATACAATTTACTTTATTTTACATAATCTTGCGATAATATACCACAAAGATAAATATTTAATCACAGATGCCAGAATGATATATAACTATAATGTAGGTATATCGTATATATCTGTGTATTTCAAAATATCAGTTTATAAGTCCTAACACTAACTCCTAAATATACGACCGTGCTACGAACTATATAAAGACAATAAATAATAGGTACTTCTCGTCTTCTCTATAATGACTCTTTACTAGGTATGCCTTCTCTACATAATTATCACATAAGTCAGCTAGGTATTTTTTATTTTTAGTGGGCCATTATAGCGGCATTCGAGTCTTAGGTGTACCTATCGTATATGATACGTAAAATAATATGGTACTTTGGCATATTGCGTTACCTATACGATAAATTATGTCTTTAAAATAATTCTGTCATCATTCCGATTATTTTTTATGAAAAATTCCAAAGTCGATTTATCTGGTTACGACTTACGAGACATAGGTACTTTTATTTTTTCAATTTTTAAGGATTTTCATAAATTCATAACTTACCTATCATTGCTCATTAATCAAACATTGTAATTTATAATATTAGTCTATTAGTATGCGATAAAGTATAGACGAATATAAATTATAATAAATAAAAAATATGTAATTGAAAATCCTCAATTGCACCCATTCATATACCAAAATAATACCTATTCAAGAATCTACATATTTTTAAATTCTAAGCTTATTCATCAAATAAGTAGGTGGATTGGTACCTATTTATTTAATTGCAATATATTTAATATTGATAAAATAATTATACTGTCGTAAGTAATATTCAGCGTAATAGAACATATTAGGTTATTCGACTTATTAGGTCCTGACAATGTCCATCTAAACTTGATGTTCCATTCAGTATTTTTTTTGGAATTTTAACAATAGATAATACAAAATTATTTACTAAAGTTACAATAGAAAATTACAATGTACAATACAAAGTAATAGGTTATAACCTATTGTTACTAATGTACTTATCTACATTCAAATAATAAAATACAAACAAACTTAGATATACAATCCGAACCCTACCATTGTTTTTAATATTCTTATACATATAATACACTTCGTAATGTCTGCAAGACAGTGAAATGTGTTGTAAATATTGACCTATATAACAACTTAAGTAATTTCTCAGTATATATTTCTATTTTATAAATAAGATATAATATTATAAATTTATAAAGTATAAAGAGTAGGTAGTAGGTACCTAGGTAAATAAGACGTGCACGTCGCCAATAGCTGTGATATTATTTCATCCCGGTATAGACTAGGTACCTAAATTAAACATGATAAAGAGACATAGTAAACCAATAAGTAGGTAATGTATACACAGAATAGATTATATTATATTATATTATATTATATACCAATAAGTGGTACTCAAGTCTCAACATTAGCCTTTACTTTTTGGGGAGACAAATGAAATTAATTAATCGTGGTTTTGTATAGCCTGTAGGTATAGGTATCGACGTATATTCGTGTAAGTAGGTATAACCATAACTAGTAATAGGATTTTATGCAAACGATTTTTTTATCAAATAATTAATAAATTGACAACTCATTTGATTATTAAAATATTTTTACTATTGTTAAATTCAGCAAAAAATAGGTAGGTATTTAAAAAAAATACCTACCTCGGTTAATTAACCACACATTTTTTGTTATACGTAGTACCATTGATTATATATACAATAAACTAGTATAAATAATCAATGGTAGTACCTATACTGATATGCTGTATATAAAGCAGTGTATATACATATTACATACGTGTCGGAAATTGGAATTTACAACATATTTACATATTTAGTTAAAATTAAAATTATTGAGTTTAAGGTCATAACATTTTGATTTGGTAGCTACTTATGCAGCTATTTGTTAGGCACCTAAAAAATTAATACCCCATTATTGCTTTAAATTGTCATAAAATTTCAATATAACCATTTTCTGTACATGATAAAATATTCAAAATGATTTGACTCTTTTTGAGCTTTTAAGAGCTAAGAAGGATTTTCGATTTTTTTTCAAAAAGCTTGTCAAAAAACTTGAAAATTCAATACAAAATTAATTATATTAAGTTGTTATAAAATAAGTTCAAAAACATTAAACATGCGCATGCATGATTTTTTTTAAAAGGATTTGAAGTTGAAATTTTGACAAAATTCGTCATATGCGATTTATTTATTGATTTTTTATTCTTTTTGAAAAAATTATACTGTCTTCACGTAATCTACAATACTGTATATTAATAATAATAATATTTAATTATACCAAGGTAATGATTTTTCATTTATTGTACCCACTCCTGAGAACAAGCATCAACCGATAAGATAGACAAACTCATTAATAAGTAGGTACCTATGTATTTTGTGTTTACCTAATTTGTTGATAAATATTTTATAATAACCTAATTATTTAGTTTCAACTAAATCAAGAGGGGAAAATTAAGAGTTTATAAATCCATTCTATTAACCTTTATGTACTTGTGCATAGTAACTACCCAGTCTACTATACTATATGTTATATTTATTTTGTTAGTTTGTAAAATCCATACAATTTTTTTAATAATGTAATACAATTAATTCAATAAATTAATTTAATTACTAGTGAAGTACCTAGTTATTTCTTTTAAACATTTTTTTCACACATTATATTTAGTGAGGTATTTTAAGCAAATACAAAATATTCAACTTTCATATAATAACAACACAAAATATATCAGGTTTTTACACTTTATTTTATAAACATTATTTAGTTAAGTACTTAGGTATAGTATAAAAACTATCATTTAGTAACCAATTTACCTATGTGGTTTTGGGTATACAAATATTCATACTTTTTAGAAAATACCTCTGCTCAATAAATATTATAAGGTACATGTGTGGCTGAGTGTAAACATAACTAGCTATGTTCTTTGAATATTGACTGTTTAGTATAATTATAATAAATATTTAGGTACCATGGTACATGAATATACTTTTTGGAAGAATATATTTTTATTTAAAAAAATTTTTTTCTAAAATACCTATACATTATTTGTATTATTATATGTTTAATAAGGTACATCATAACTGAAACCTNTAACCAAAAATAAAATAAAATTTTAATTTTAATATGGGTACAACTATTTAAATTCAAAACTTAAGTTACAACACATCACATTATCACTTATAAGTTCAAAATTAATTTTTATATATATATTTTACAATTTTAAATATATTTTAAATTGTTTTTAGATTGAACATTTTTATTTGAAAAATGAAATTGATATTTTGTGTACCATGGCTTTTTGTGTGGATGACTTCACCTGCCAACAGTATGAAAAATATTCTTATTGGTTTAGGAGAACCAAATTCACCACCATCATTAAGAACAGATAGGTGCTAAATGGTACTACATAAATAATACTAATATGGTACTAAATGACAGCCCATATAAAATATAATAAATGTATACATACTGATGATTTTAAAGTTAAATTCAATTTTTTACTATATTCATTTTTGGTTGTATGTATTTATTCATTAATACAATTTAGTAATAAGCCAGGTTGCATATGCAATCAGTAAATATTTGATTTAATTTTTATTACAAATAAGTGATCCAAACTTTCTATTGATGATAATGTTCTCTTGAATATGATTTTATGAAGAGAATTGGGTAAGTGAAACTGTTAAATTAGGTTATAATTTTTCTATGGAATTCGGTAGTAATCATATTAAATAGGTATAACTAACAGTTACAATGAATATAAGCTAGGTACTGATTTTACCAATGTTAAATAGACTCATTCTATATGATATGAATGAGGTTTTGTACAGTGGTATAGGTACTTGCATTCAGGTACCGTACCGTACCACTACCCACAAAAAAATATTGCGTACTTATGTTGTATTACAATTATGCATTATTCGATTTTTAATGTATTTATTTTTAACTAAAACTTGATTAAGGTAATAGGCTGATATTAAACAAATTTGATAATTTTAATTAACTATGTACTTCCATAAAATATGAAGAGTAATTAACCATTAAATATTTAATTTAAGATGTTTTTTTTAAAAAAATTTTTATTTGAAAGCTATTATTTCAGTAGTTAAATTTATCATATTGTAATAAGTAGGCAGATATTGTATAATGTGAATTTTAATTTTCTTTGTTTAAATTTAAAAAACATAGTAGATAGTAGGTAGGTACTATAGTAAAGCAGCCAATAGATAATAGGCATCGCTCGCACTTACCTAATTAACTCAAACTCAATTTAGACGGTTAGTATAAAATAAAAAAACACTTTTGATCTTCAAACATATTCATTATCAACATTTACGAGTACCTTTATACATTGTTATCTATTATAGTGAATGAGGGTACTTCATCTGATTTTATTGGTAGGTTTTATACAAAATAATTACCTAATATTTTTTTTTATTACACCTAATTTATTATATAAATTGTTGGCTAAATTTATACATTATAATATATATATTATGCATAATTTAAATTAATTAGAATATTTTATTAAAAGTAGGTAAGTACTTAATTTTGTTATAAGGTACCTAATTTAATTATATACAATACTTTTATAAGCTAATACCTACCTACTTATCCACCTACTTTATTAGAGAAAATTAACCAAAAATAAAATAAAATTTTAATTTTAATATGGGTACAACTATTTAAATTCAAAACTTAAGTTACAACACATCACATTATCACTTATAAGTTCAAAATTAATTTTTATATATATATTTTACAATTTTAAATATATTTTAAATTGTTTTTAGATTGAACATTTTTATTTGAAAAATGAAATTGATATTTTGTGTACCATGGCTTTTTGTGTGGATGACTTCACCTGCCAACGGTATGAACGATATTCTTATTGGTTTAGGAGAACCAAATTCACCACCATCATTAAGAACAATGATCACTGAAGACGAATGGTTTATACAGAAATTAGATCATTTTAATCCTACTAATAATAGAACGTGGAAACAGGTAAATTAAAAATATACCTACCTGTATGGATTACACATACTATGAAATAATTATCAGAATAATTCGAAATCCAAAACAAATGTAATTTTTTATAAAATAATATCTAGAGATATCAAGTGAATTTGGAACATTATAAAAGTGGTGGACCAGTGTTTTTGATGATTGGAGGAGAAGGGAAAATTTCAGCTAAATGGATGAACAGCGGAGCTTGGATTGATTACGCTAAAGAATTTAATGCCTTATGTATTCAACTGGAACATCGGTATTATGGTGAAAGTCACCCTACTGAGTAAGAATTATAATAAAATTTAAAGCAATGCGTTTTTAAGGTATTATTTTTGTATCTATTATGCCTTCAATGAATATTATATTATATATCAATGATCAATCTATATAATTATATAATATATAGGTAGTATTGAAATGGGCTCTTGAAAGATAATTGTAAGCACGCAGTGTTCAAAAGTTTTGACATCCTTGACCTATAATGTGTTAGGTATAGTTCATAGTATGGTGTCTTCTAGGTTATGCTAAATGAAAAAATAAAATTTTTCTATTGAGCTCAATTTTTTTACTACACCGACATTTTAAGCCGAAAAATTCTGGGCTCAGTTCTTCAGGTCTGTCCATCGAAATAGGTACATTATTAGTGTTCATCATTATTATTTTTACCCATTGGAAAAAAATAATTTAGAACGATGATAGCCTATAAATTGTTAGGTATTATTTAGGCCCGTTTCACGTGGACGCATATATTATCATACGCGATGTATCGTACGCGAACGTTTTTAGTTTACATTGATTAAGTTCATACGCTCCATACTAACGAGGGACACGCTCCACCGCCGTAGTGGCGCGTATGAACTTAATCAGTGTAAACTATAAACGCTCGCGTACGATAAGTTGCGTATGATAAGCATGAAACGGGCCTTAAGTTATTCATTTTTGAATGGAGTGATGAATGTAATGCATTTGTTTCGTTTGTCATCACATTTGAAATAGTAAAAATGTTTATAAGTATTCAACTAAGAAGGTGATTCAGTAACAAATTGGATTCACTTTATACTAAAAAATGATATGTACTTAAAAATAAGAGGAATAAAACATGTCAGAAAAATGTGAACAATCATACATAAGTATTCATTCCACTAACCAGTCAAGGAAAAATGTGTTATGTTTTTTTTCGTACTAATTAAAAATTTAACTATTGATGATATACTTGAAATTTAGATCAAATATTTAGGCATATAATAGAAATTTCTAGACAAAATACAATTTTAGAAATATTTTGTCTATTTTTTTGACATTTAAATATTTTAGTTTTATTGGTACTTTTTCGAATTATGTATGATCAAACATATTACCTAGGTACTTAAGAAGACGCCTCACCCGCAAGTGTTGTATCAGTCTTACAAGTGGACAGGACATTTTAGCTCAGCAGATCACATTTATCTCCTATAATTTA